CTGAAAAATCCAGCTTAAACCAGCCTAGGCTGGTTGGCTGGTTTTAGCTGGTTGACCATCCTGGTTTTAGAGGGGTTTCAGCCATTTCCAGGCTGGTTTACAGTCATTTCCAGCCTGGTTTTACCAGCTAAAACCAGCTTGACCAGCCTAGCCATGTTCGGAGCCCAGCCAAAACCAGCTATGTCCATTTAAAACCAGGCCGGTCAAGCTGGTTTTCGCCTGGATTTAGCTGGTCATTTTCTAGCCTGACCAGCTAAGACCAGGCTGGAAATGAATGGAAACCAGCCTGGAAATGGCCGAAACCCCTCCAAAACCAGGCTGGTCAACTAGCTAAAACCAAGCCAAGGCTGGTTTAAGCTGGATTTTTCATAAGGGATGAACTGAAGCCTAGGAAGACATATAAGCGTGTCACCCTTAAAGAGATGGTGATGTTGTTTGATGCCTAATCTGCTTTTGATTGTTTAAATTAAACTGAACTGGATGATATTAAAGTGATGTTTGCACCATATCTGCATTTAGAAATCACGGCAACAGCTGGAGGTTTGAAGTACACAGCATGTTACTGCAATGTTTACACTGCTAATCCAATAATTCCGAGTTTCTTCCCTCGCTTTTATGTTTTAAAATGTCGGCCGCGTAAAATAAGCATATTAGCTAATGGTATTCAGCCCAAAGTGCATTTTAAAGGCTTAACTAGGTTAAGTCAAGTCATTGGACAGCAGTGGTTTGTTCTGTTGACAATCAATAATATATATATATATATTAAGGGGGATTAATAATTTAAAAAAAATAAACTGCTTTTATCCCAGGCAAATTAAAAATAAAAGAACACATATTTCAGAGGAGGGCTAATACCTTTAACTTAAACTTAGTCAGTAATCATTTGATCTAATTGATTGCTTGGTGTTCTCCGCCTCTGAAGCAGCACGCATGTGGATATGAACAACAGATATCCAGGATCCGTCTATACGGTATTCAGTCATTTATTTGTTTGTTCATTCACTCTTTTGATTGGTCCTGTACTGACTATCATGTGGTGGTGCGTCAGGCTCAGATTTCTCAGAAGAAGCTTCCTCGCTCTCCTCCTGATGATGATGATAATGGTGTGATGAAGGTGGTAGCCATGTATGACTTCACAGCCAGAGAGAGTTCAGACCTGACGCTGCACCGCGGAGAAACATACATCATCCTCCATAAACAAGACCAGCTGTGGTGGAGAGCCAAAGACAGGCACGGGTCAGTGTGTGTGGGTGTAAGTGTGTGTGTGCATGTTTTTAGTTTGTATGTGCTGATATCTGCTCATTCTCTCTTTCAGGAACAAGGGCTTCATTCCCAGTAACTATGTCACCGAAACTGGAACAATAGAAGCCAATGAGTAAGTATTATCCACTCAGAGACTATTCAAATCTATAAAACCTATCAAAGTCATCTCCAGTCCACTATAACCAATCAGAGACTTCTTAGATCTCTCTAACCAATCAGAAACATCTCCAGACCTATCTAACTAATCAGAGACTTCTCAGATCTCTTTATCTAATCAGAGACATCTAAAGTCTTCTCCAACCAATCATCTCCAAACCTCTCTAGTCTAACCAATCAAAGATTTTGTAGATCTCTCTAACCAATTAGTCGTCTTCAGACCTATCCAACCAATCAGAGTCATCACTGATCAATGCAGATCTCTCTAACCAATCCGAGTCATCTCCAGTCCTCTCTAACCAATAAGAGATTCCTCAGATCCCACTAACCAATCAGGGACATCTCCAGTCCTCTCTAACCAATAAGAGATTTCTCAGATCTCTCTAACCAATCAGAGACATCTTCAGTCCTCTCTAACCAATAAGAGATTTCACATATCCCTCTAACCAATCAGGAACATCTCCAGTCCTCTCTAACCAATAAGAAATTTCTCAGTTCTCTCTAATCAATCAGAGACATCACCAGTCCTCTCTAACCAATAAGAGATTTCTCAGATCCCTCTAACCAATTAGGGACATCTCCAGTCCTCTCTAACCAATAAGAGATTTCTCAGATCTCTCTAACCAATCAGAGACATCACCAGTCCTCTCGAACCAATAAGAGATTTCTCAGATCCCTCTAACCAATCAGAGACATCTCCAGTCCTCTCTAACCAATAAGAGATTTCTCAGATCCCTCTAACCAATCAGGGACATCACCAGTTCTCTCTTACCAATAAGAGATTTCTCAGATCCCTCTAACCAATCAGGAACATCTCCAGTCCTCTCTAACCAATAAGAAATTTCTCAGTTCTCTCTAACCAATCAGAGACATCACCAGTCCTCTCTAACCAATAAGAGATTTTTCAGATCCCTCTAACCAATCAGGCACATCACCAGTCCTCTCTTACCAATGAGAGATTTCTCAGATCAGTCATCTTCAGACCTAACTAATCGAAGACTTTGTAGATCTCTCTAACCAATCATCTCCAGTCCTCTCCAACCAATCAGAGACATGCACAGACCTTTGTAGTCTAACCAGTTAGAGAATTTGCAGATCTCTCTAACCAATCAGTCATCTCCAGATCTGTCCAACCAATAAAAATCCTCACAGACCTCTCTAACCAGGGTTCTCTATCCAACCAGAGTTATCTCCAGTCCTCTTACCAGTCAGAGACAATGGAGATCTCTTAAACCAATCCGAGTCATCTCCAGTCCTCTCTAACCAATAAGAGATTTCTCAGATCTCTCTAACCAATCAGAGACACCACCAGTCCTCTCTAACCAATAAGAGATTTCTCCAGTCCTCTCTAACCAATAAGAAATTTCTCAGATCCCTCTAATCAGGGACATCGCCAGTCCTCTCTAACCAATAAGAGATTTCTTAGATCCCTCTAACCAATCAGAGTCATCCCCAGTCCTCTCTAACTAATAAGAGATTTCTCAGATCCCTGTAACCAATCAGGGACATCTCCACTCCTCTCTAACCAATAAGAGATTTCTCAGATCTCTCTAACCAATCAGAGACATCTCCAGTCCTCTCTAACCAATAAGATATTTTTCAGATCTCTCTAACCAATCAGAGACATCTCCAGTCCTCTCTAACCAATAAGAGATTTCACACATCCCTCTAACCAATCAGGAACATCTCCAGTCCTCTCTAACCAATAAGAAATTTCTCAGTTCTCTCTAACCAATCAGAGACATCTCCAGTCCTCTCTAACCAATAAGATATTTTTCAGATCTCTCTAACCAATCAGAGACATCTCCAGTCCTCTCTAACCAATAAGAGATTTCACACATCCCTCTAACCAATCAGGAACATCTCCAGTCCTCTCTAACCAATAAGAAATTTCTCAGTTCTCTCTAATCAATCAGAGACATCACCAGTCCTCTCTAACCAATAAGAGATTTCTCAGATCCCTCTAACCAATCAGGGACATCTCCAGTCCTCTCTAACCAATGAGAAATTTCTCAGATCAGTCATCTTCAGACCTAACTAATCGAAGACTTTGTAGATCTCTCTAACCAATCATTTCCAGTCCTCTCCAACCAATCAGAGACATGCACAGTAGTCTAGTAGACTCTGTAGTCTAACCAGTTAGATTTTGCAGATCTCTCTAACCAATCAGTCATCTTCAGATCTGTCCAACCAATAAAAGTCCTCACAGACCTCTCTAACCAGGGTTCTCTATCCAACCAGAGTTATCTCCAGTCCTCTTACCATTCAGAGACAATGGAGATCTCTTAAACCAATCCGAGTCATCTCCAGTCCTCTCTAACTAATAAGAGATTTCTCAGATGTCTCTAACCAATTAGAGGCATCTCCAATGTTCTCTTTAACCAATCAGAAACTTCCCAGATATCTCTAACCAATCAGAGATGTTGCAGATCTCTCCAACTAATCAGTCATCTCCAGTCCTCTCTAACTACTCAGAGTCATCGCTGATCTCTCTGACCAATCAAGCTATTCAGATCTCTCTATCCAACCAGAGTTATCTCTAGTCCTCTCTTACCAATTAGAGACAATGGAGATCTCTCAAACCAATCAGAGGCATCTCCAGTCCTCTCTAACCAATAAGAGATTTCTCAGATCTCTCTAACCAATCAGAGGCATCTCCAGTCTTTTCCAACCAATCAAAGACATCTCTAGACCTCTGTTGTCTGGATCATTCATGAATAAGCATTCATGACTGATCTCTCTGACCAATTAGGCTTCTAACATCTCTCTATCCAACCAGAGTTATCCAGAGCCCTCTCTAACCAATCGGAGACTTTGTTGATCTCTCTAACCAATCAGAGTCAATTCAGATCTGTTTAACCAATCAAAGTAAATTCAGATCTATCTAACCAATCAGTCAACTCAGATCTCTCAAACCAATCAAACTTATCCCAGATCTTTCTAACCAATCAAACTCATCCCAGATCTCTCTAACCAATTAGTCAACTCAGATCTCCTAAACCAACCAGTCAACTCAGATATCTAGGCAAACCAATCAGAGTCTTTAAAGATCTCGTTAGCCAATCAGTGAGACCAGATCCCTCTTACCAGTACAAGTCATATTTATAAGCTTATCAGTTATCTCAAGAATGTCAACAGATTGTTTAGAGTTCACAGTCACTGATGGCAGCCATTTTGTTTGTGTATGGTTGTGTGTGTTTTGATGTTTTTTACCAGCTGGTACTGCAAGAACATCAACAGAGCTGAAGCAGAGCATCTTCTGAGACAAGAGGTGAATACACACATCCATAAGTCAATCATCAATAATCGATCCCTCTTTATGCTCAAAATGGCCCATTCATTGTGTGTGTGTTTTTTTAACAGGGGAAGGATGGAGGGTTTGTGGTCAGGAGCTCCAGTCAGCCCAGCACATACACAGTGTCTGTTTACACACACTGGTAATAAAGCCTCTTTGATTGATCATTTCACTGATTCCCTCCACTGATCCATTGATCGATTAACTGACTGATAGAATGATTTATTGACTGATTGATTGATCGACATTAAGAATGATTGGCTAATAAATTGACATTGATTTTGATTAATTGATTATTTGTTGACTGATAGTTTGACATTGATTTGATTGATTGGTCAACATTAATTGATTGACTCATTGATTGATTGATTGGTTGGATGGATGGATGGATGGATGGATGGATGCTTTGTTGGATTCTTTGATTGGTTGGTTGATTAGTTGAGCAATAGTTTGCTTGACTGATAGATTGACATTGATTTAATTGATTGATTGNGCAACACTAATTGATTGATTAATTGGTTGGTTGGTTGGTCGGTCGGTCTGTCGATTGGTTTGATGGATGGATTAATGGATGGATGAATGGATGAATGAATGAATGAATGAATGAATGAATGAATGAATGAATGGATGGTTGGATGCATGGTTGGATGAATGGATGGTTGAATGGTTGGGTGCATGGGTGGTTGATTGGTTGACTGAAAGATTGATTTAAGTGATTAATTGGGCTTCGCTAATTGATTGAATCATTGATTGGATGGATGGATGGATGGATGGATGGATGGATGGATGGATGGATGGATAGATGGATCGGTGGTTGGATGGTTGGTTACTTTGAAGAATTAATTAATTAATTAATTAATTAATTGATTGATTGATTGATTGATTGATTGATTGATTGATTGATTGATTGATTGATTGATTGATTGATTGATTGATTGATTGATTGATTGACTGACTGATTGATTGATTGATTGATTGATTGATTGATTGATTGATTGATTGGTTGGTTGGTTGGGTGGATAGTTAGATGGATAGTTAGATGGCTGGCTGGATGGATCAGTGGTTGGATGGTTGGTTACTTTGATAAACCGATTTATTGATTTATTTATCAACACTAATTGATTGACTCGTTGATTGGTTGGTTGGATAGATAGATGAATGGATGGTTGGATGCATGGATGAATGGTTGGTTGGTTGGTTGGATACTTTGATTGGTTGGTTGATTGGTTACCTGATAGATTATAATTGATTTAATTGATTGATCGAGCAACGCTAATTGATTGATTTATTGATTTATTGATTTATTGATTTATTGATTTATTGGTTGGTTGGTTGGTTGGTTGGTTGGATGGATAGCTAGATGGCTGGCTGGCTGGATGGATCGGTGGTTGGATGGTTAGTTACTTTGATGAATTGATTGATTGATTGATTGATTGATTGATTGATTGATTGATTGATTGATTGATTGATTGATTGATTGATTGATTGATTGATTGATTGATTGGTTGGTTGGTCGGTCGGTTGGTTGAGCGATAGATTGATTGACTGATAGTTTGACAGTGATTAGTTTGATTGGTCAACACTAATTGATTGATTCATTGGCTGGTTGGATGGATGGATGGTTGATTGTAGACTATAATTGGTTGGTTGATTGGCTGAGCGATATATTGACATTGATTTAATTAATTGATTTGGCAACACTACTCAAATCATTGATTGATTGGTTGGTTGGATGAATAGATGGATGGATAGTTGCTTTGATTAATTAATTGAATGATTGATTTTATAGTTGATTGATTGATTGATTGATTGATTGATTGATTGATTGATTGATTGATTGATTGATTGATTGATTGATTGATTGGTTTGTTTGTTGGTTGATTGTTGGTTAACTAACTGATAGTTTGATAGTTTAATAGTTTGACTTTAGTTCATTTATTGATTGGTTGATCGACATTAATTAATTGATTCATTCATTTATTGATTGACACTAATTTGATAGATTTGATAGACTGATAGATTGATTGATTGATTGATTGATTGATTGATTGATTGATTGATTGATTGATTGATTGATTGATTGATTGATTGATTGATTGATTGATTGATTGACTGACTGACTGACTGGTTGGTTGATTGATTGATTGATTGATTGATTGATTGATTGATTGATTGATTGATTGATTGATAGATAGATTGATTGATTGATTGATTGATTGATTGATTGATCAGTTCAGGTAAAGGTGAGGTGAGGCATTATCAGATCAAGCGGACAGACGAGGATAAGTTCTACCTGGCAGAGAACCACGTCTTCATCTCCATTCCTGAGCTCATCAACTACCACAAGTACAACGCAGCAGGTCCTCATGTGTTCTGTGCTTCGGTTGTGTTTGTGTGACAATCTGCTGAAGATCTGCTGTGTTTGACCAGGTCTAGTGGCCAGACTGCGCTATCCCATCGGGCCGAAGGGCAAATGCCAACCAGCTACAGCGGGATTCAGTTCAGGTCAGACACACAGTTGTTAAATAAAGGCCTTGTGAAATTATAGGGACGTTTTTTTAGATGTTAAAATCAGTATGTTAGTTTCATGGATGTCTATAAGCTAGTGTGATCTAAAATAGTGACAATATTTAGAAGATATAAACCTGATATAAACATCCAAAGCTTGCAGTTGGCCGCTCTTTCCCGCCTAAATAGATCAATGGTTTTTTGCCGTCTCCTTATAAATCAGTTTCTCATCAGATCTTTTGACCAATCAAACGCTCTCTAGGATCTGACGTGCCCCGCCCCCCTTCTTTTGGAACTCATTGCACACTGAATGGTCTTCATCTTGTGTGCAGATAAAATGGAGATCAACCCATCGGAGCTGACTTTCATGAAGGAGCTGGGTTCTGGTCAGTTTGGAGTGGTGCGACTGGGTAAATGGAGAGCGCAGCATAAAGTGGCCATTAAAACCATCCGGGAAGGAGCCATGAATGAGGATGATTTCATTGAGGAAGCAAAAATCATGACGTAAGACACACACACACGGATGAGTGGAAAGTTGCTGAGAGTCTGGAAACTGTGGTGGGTGGGTATATGTGTGTGTGTGTGTGTGACGTTATAACAGGCCAATTTCCTGCACTGAAACCGCTAGATTTCTTATCAGTCTTTTTTATTCAGTGTGTTTCACTTCCTCTGTATGGAACGTGGAGGTGTGATGGAAACATGCATTCAGTCTCACTTTTATAAACTCTGCTCAGCATAAATTAGTGCACGCCCTTTCTGAAAATGTATATTTTTAGAAGCCTTTAGTTTTATCAGTGGAAACATTCATGAAGTCATCACTACTTAGCTAAACAAGACAAAAACTCCTGGGAAAAGCATGTTTTTGCTGTGAAAGAAATCTCAATATTGAGGAAAATATGCAAAAAAAAATATGAGGAAAAGGAGTTGTGCAAATTAAGTTCTAAGCAATGCACATTACTAATAAAACATTACTGTTTTATATATTAACAGTAGGAGATTTACAAAATACCTTCATAGAACGTCATCACTAGTAATTTTTCGAAGAGATATTTTGTTTTTCAGACGACAACCGATTATTTTTTAGTCTAGCAATATGTTAAATAAGAGCCAAGGATTGCTATGGTGATTTCTTTTTTCTTTTTTCCTTTTATTTTGGATGTGATTTAAAGTTGCCCAGTACTTTTCTTACCCCTTTGACAGATAATGTAAGGAGAAACTCCTTTTTACTTTGACTTAATTTTTCTGAAAAACAAAACAGAATTATTTTTTTTACTTATCTGGGAATTTTTTCTTAAATGTAAAAACAAAAACTCCAAGTAACATTTTTTTTTTTTTTGCTGTGAAAAACAGCTAAATATTGAGGAAAACCATCTAAGATGTGCAAATTAAGCTCTTAGAAATGCACATTACTAATAAAACATTACTGTTTATATATTAACAGTACGAAATTTACAAAATACCTTCAAGGAATGTTCATTGATTCATTTTCTTGTCGGCTTAGTCCCTTTATTAATCCGGGGTCGCCACAGCGGAATGAACCGCCAACTTATCCAGCAAGTTTTTACGCATCGGATGCCCTTCCAGCCGCTTCATGGAATGTTATCACTATTAATTTTTCCTATGGTTAATTCCTATTTCCTTTTATTTCGGATGTAATTAATCCTGATTAAATTTTGCCCAGCACTTTGCTTACTTCATTGACAGATCATTTTGCAGATTTTAAGGAGAAACTCACTTAATTTTGACTCATTATTTCTGAAATCAAAACAGCATTTTTACTTATTTAAGAAATATTTATTGAATTAAGAACTTTTAGAAATTTGGCATAGAAACAAGACAAAAACTCCAAGTAAAAGCATGTTTTTGCTGTGAAAAAAAGCTAAATATCGAGGAAAATTATCTAAGATGTGCAAAATTAATCTTGGCAATGTGCATTACAAATAAAACCTTACTTTTTTATAGATTAACAGTAGGAAACTTACAAAACACCTTCATGGAACATCATCACTATTAATTATTCGATTTTGTTCAGAAGATTATTTGTCAGTCCAGCAACTGTTTTAAATATGAATCTGGGATTTTTATGGTTAATTTCTATTTCCTTTTATTTTACATGTGATTAATCTTCGTCCAGCTCTTTGCTTACCCCTTTGACAGATAATTTAGCTTGTTTTATTGAGAAACTTACTAAATTTTAACTCATTATTTCTGAAAACAAAACAGAATTATTTTTTACTTTACTAGGAAATATTCTTAAACATGAAGACAAAAACTTGCTGAGAAACAATCTAAATAGTGGGAAACCTCCATACACACTCATTTACACACACTCACTACGGCCAATTTAGCTCATCAATTCCTTTATAGTGCATGTGTTTGGTCTGTGGGGGAAACCGGAGCACCCGAAGGAAACCCACACCAACACGGGGAGAACATGCAAACTCCACATAGAAATGCCAACTGACCCAGCCGGGACTAAAACCTTCCTGCTACAGTTCCAACCACTGAGTCACCATGTTGCCAATTCAAATACATCTTTATTTAATTTAAGCATCTTTATTTACGTTATGATTGTAAATAATCTGCTTATAAACATTCAAACACACAATTAATGAATGTTTTATATGTCCAGTCAAAGAATGTTGTATTCTTTTTAGTCTGAAAACTACAATATTGAGCCCAATCTTGACTTTACAAAAGTTAATCACACATCAAATTACAATAGCTGGTAAAGCTGATAAAAATGAAACTAGTAAAGATATCTGCTCAAGTAAAAATAATAACCATCTGTCAGCAGCTAGGACTAGGGGGAGCGGGAACGAAAGTAACCAAGCGATTTTCTCAAACCCCTGACAACATTTTGCTGGTAACACTTGATCAGTTTGGGTATTAGTAGACTATCTGCTTAATATCTGCTGATACTGCTCCTTCAACAGACATTTAACTGACTATCAGAAACTCTGCAAGCACATGTTCAATTCAATTCACCTTTATTGTATAGCGCTATTACAATGTAGATTGTGTCAAAGCAGCTTCACATAGAAGATCATAGTAAATGTAAAGAGTGTGGTTCAGTTTTCAGAGTTTAAGTTCAGTTTAGCTTAGTTCAGTGTAGTTTAATAATCCCTACTGGGAGTCCAAACACTGAAAAGCAAATCCATCAATGTGCAACACTACAGAAAAAACTTCACCAATTGACGAAAGAGAAGAATTAAAAAACCTTGAGAGAAAGCAAACTCAGCTGGACACGACCATTTCTCCACTGGCCAAACGTCTTATGCAGAGCTGCAATCTAGGTGCTGGAGGCAGTAAGCTGGACGTCAGCGAAGACTCGTCTGTCCCTGGAGAGTCACAGGAATCAGTCTCATGCTCTCCACTCCTCCATGACCACCACAGCAGCTGCTCAGGATACGGCCTGGTCCAGGATTATGGAAACCTTGGGATCATCTCGTCGCTGGTGTTGGATTGAATCAGTGACGCTGCATAGTCTGAGGGCCTCATGATGAGCATCCTCAGGTGGAAATAGAGAATAAAGAGAGTAATTAGCGTAGCTGCTGTTCATAGTGTTTATAAACGAGATGCAGAAACCTGTGTGGAGCACATTCATGCATCACACCGCTAAATGATGCACTGAGTCAATGCTTTGCTAAACAGATAGATCTTTAATCTAGTGTTGAACTGAGAGAGTGTGTTTGAGCCTCGGACATCATCAGGAAGGCTGTTCCAGAGTTTAGGAGCCATAAAATAAAGGGCTCGACCTCCTTTAGTAGACTTTGCTATTCTAGGTACTACCAGAAGCCCTGAGTTTTGAGATCTTAAAGAGCGAGTTGGATTGTAGCGAGACAGAAGGTTGGTTAGATAAACAGGAGCTCGATTATTTAAAGCTTTATAGGTGAGAAGTAATATTTTAAATTCAATACGAAACTGAACAGGCAGCCAGTGTAAAGAGGATAACATTGGGGTGATATGATCATATTTTCTAGACCTGGTAAGAACTCTGGCAGCTGCGTTTTGTATTAGCTGAAGTTTGTTAATAGAGGATGCTGGACAGCCAGCAAACAGCATTACAGTAATCCAGCCTTGAAGTCATAAAAGCATGGACTAGCTGTTCTGCATCAGAGATGGATGAAAGAAGGCAACTTAACCCTAACCCCAACCTAACAGTCTAGTTTTAATGTAATGAGAATTGGTTGGCATGAAGATGTAAATTCAACAAACGAACCAAGAAAATAAAGTGTGACCCATTTGCTTTCCAGGTTATAACAGCACATTCAGTATGCAACTCAAATAGTAGCTGATTTCAGGAGCAATTTAGTTTGAATTAAATTTTTTTTTTAAAGCAGAAAGTAAATTGTTGTTGCAATACTTTTTTTCTTATTACAAGTCGTGTTTCTGTTTTCATGCATCACAGTAATGATCAGTCTACAGGTTATTCAGTGCAATAACACATCCCTGAGTTTGCAGTGTTTGAATTTAAAAGTAAATCAGGTTTAAGTGGCGTGAGTTCCTGTGGATACGAAAGTAACACTGTTATTTATGTCCCTCTGCTCATTTTCATGTCTTACTCTTCACTTCCACATTAGAGTTTGCAATGTTAATAGCCAATAATAAAACATATTTAGAAATTTTAGACAATTCATTCAGCATTCAGCCTGATCCGGATCTGTGTTCCGGCACAAATGAAGCCCTGCTGAAACCTGACTGACACGCTTCAAAAACCTTGTTCATTTTTAGAAAGGAGCATCAGATGTTTCAATGTTTAGATTTTGTGGTAACATGGTATAAAGGGTGAAAAAAAAGAAAATAGTAACAATTTGGACAATATTTTATGATAAAAACTAAACTTATTAATCCACTTAAGGGGGGCATGGTGGCTTAGTGGTTAGCACTGTGGCCTCACTGCAAGAAGGTCACTGGTTCGAGCCTCGGCTAGGTCAGTTGGCATTTCTGTGTGGAGTTTGCATGTTCTCTCCATGTTGGCGTGGGTTTCCTCCGGGTGCTCAGTCCAAACACATGCACTATAGGGGAATTGATGAACTAAATTAGCCGTAGTGTATAAGTGTGTGAGAATGAGTGTGTATGGCTGTTTCCCAGTACTGGGTTGCAGCTGGAGTAGCATCCTCTGTGTAAAACATTCCGCTGTGGTGACCTCTGATAAATAAGGGACTAAGCCGAAGGTAAAGTGAATGAATTAATTCACTTGATGGAGCTCCAACAGAAACATCACACACCCATACACAATCCTACTGAAAGCTAATTTTTGGAGATATCAATTTTAAATTAGGAATATAATTAGTTCAGATATTTACTGTAGATTTTCTGTCAGTTGTACTCTAAAACAGGTCATATGAAATAAAATACATATAAAACATATATTAGGGTATTAAACAATTATATTAAAAGGTGCTTGATGAAGTGCGTGCCCATGTGTGTGCAGGGGCGCAACTGCACATTTACTGATGGGTATGCGGCTTCAACTTCAACTTATATATATATATATATATATATATATTATTATTATTATTATTATTATTATTATTATTATTTGAAACTTTTAATATGAATAATTTCAAAAATAGTTGTGGCACAATGGCGCCCCCCCATGGGTGGCGCCCCTATGCCCCGCATATACTGCATACCCCCTTTTTGCGCCACTGTGTGTGTGTGTGTGTGGGTGTGTGTGTGTGTGTGTGTGTGTGTGTGTGTGTGTGTGTGTGTGTGTGTGTGTGTGTGTGTGTGTGTGTGTGTGTGTGTATGTGTGTGTGTGTGTGTGTGTAAACGTATGTGTGAATGTAAGCCTTTTTTACTGATGTCCCAGAGTGTTCAATAAATTGTGTGTGTGTGTGTGTGTGTGTGTGTGTGTGTGTGTGTGTGTGTGTGTGTGTGTGTGTGTGTGTGTGTGTGTGTGTGTGTGTGTGTGTGTTTTTGTGTTTTTGTGTGTGTGCAGGCGTCTCTGTCACCCTAAGCTGGTGCAGCTGTACGGTGTGTGTGTGACCCAACGCCCCATCTGCATCGTGACCGAGTTCATGGAGAACGGCTGCTTGCTTCACTTCCTGCGGCAGCACAGCAAGACTCTGGGACGCTCGCAGATGCTGTGCATGTGTCAGGATGTGTGTGAAGGGATGGAGTACCTGGAACACAACCAGTTCATACACCGAGACCTGGTCAGATATACACATTCACACACATATACACACACGGCTGTATGCATGACATCATATGTGACACCAAACCTGTATGTGTGTGTGTGTGTGTGTTTAGGCTGCACGGAACTGTCTGGTTAATGAGAGGAATGTGGTGAAGGTGTGTGACTTTGGCATGACCAGGTGAGTTTAACCCTTAATTTGATGACAAATTAAAAGGCAGCTATGATAAAAATAATCTTTTGTAAGCTGTTTGGACAGGACTGTGTGCAGGTATAGTGTGTCCACAGTCATATTGGGGTGATAAACACACAATAAGTCTCTTTTTTTCAATTTTCTGACGTTAAAATAGCATCCAAATCCCTCCTATTTGGAGGCCGAGCGCAATATGATGTAGTAGTGTGGTTTCCCCACCCACCGAATTAATTGACAGCCGCGTATTAACATGTCTCCATAGTAACGCATATAATCATATCAACAAGACAGGACGTGTGCAAAGCAGCTGGGATTAAAAGACCTGTGATCATCAGTCATCATCAAACGTGATCAAGAATGAGTTTGACAAGTTTAAAACCTTTTTAAAACAGTGCATGTTTCTAATAAAGTAAGTTAAAGTCAGTAAAATCGCTCTAATTCATCAGCACAGCCGCCTGTCAGTACAATTATAAAAGAAGACGTTTCAATCCCGGTTTGTGGATGTTAAGTCAGGTTTATTTTGAACATTAACATAACGGATATTCATACAGCAGTGGATATTAACCTGTATCCTGACCCATTTATCGTGCAAAAACCAGTAGTGGAAAGAGTACTAAAATTGTGTACTCAATTACAAGTACTGTTACATTGCTGAAATGATACTCAATTACAAGTACTGTTACATTGCTAAAATGATACTCAGTTACAAGTACTGTTACATTGCTAAAATTATACTCAATTACAAGTACTGTTACATTGCTAAAATGATACTCAGTTACAAGTACTGTTACATTGCTAAAATTATACTCAATTACAAGTACTGTTACATTGCTGAAATGATACTCAATTACAAGTACTGTTACATTGCTGAAATGATACTCAATTACAAGTACTGTTACATTGCTAAAATTATACTCAATTACAAGTACTGTTACATTGCTGAAATGATACTCAATTACAAGTACTGTTACATTGCTAAAATGATACTCAGTTACAAGTACTGTTACATTGCTAAAATGATACTCAGTTACAAGTACTGTTACATTGCTGAAATGATACTCAATTACAAGTACTGTTACATTGCTAAAATGATACTCAGTTACAAGTACTGTTACATTGCTAAAATGATACTCAGTTACAAGTACTGTTACATTGCTAAAATGATACTCAGTTACAAGTACTGTTACATTGCTAAAATGATACTCAGTTACAAGTACTGTTACATTACTGAAATGATACTCAATTACAAGTACTGTTACATTGCTGAAATGATACTCAATTACAAGTACTGTTACATTGCTAAAATGATACTCAATTACAAGTACTGTTACATTGCTAAAATGATACTCAATTACAAGTACTGTTACATTGCTAAAATGATACTCGGTTACAAGTACTGTTACATTGCTAAAATGATACTCGGTTACAAGTACTGTTACACTGCTGAAATGATACTTAATTACAAGTACTGTTACATTGCTGAAATGATACTCAATTACAAGTACTGTTACATTGCTAAAATGATACTCGGTTACAAGTACTGTTACATTGCTAAAATGATACTCAGTTACAAGTACTGTTACATTGCTGAAATGATACTCAATTACAAGTACTGTTACATTGCTAAAATTATACTCAATTACAAGTACTGTTACATTGCTAAAATGATCCTCAGTTACAAGTACTGTTACATTGCTGAAATGATACTCAATTACAAGTACTGTTACATTGCTAAAATGATACTCAGTTACAAGTACTGTTACATTGCTGAAATGATACTCAATTACAAGTACTGTTACATTACTGAAATGATACTCAATTACAAGTACTGTTACATTGCTGAAATGATACTCAATTACAAGTACTGTTACATTGCTAAAATGATACTCAATTACAAGTACTGTTACATTGCTAAAATGATACTCAATTACAAGTACTGTTACATTGCTAAAATGATACTCGGTTACAAGTACTGTTACATTGCTAAAATGATACTCGGTTACAAGTACTGTTACACTGCTGAAATGATACTTAATTACAAGTACTGTTACATTGCTGAAATGATACTCAATTACAAGTACTGTTACATTGCTAAAATGATACTCGGTTACAAGTACTGTTACATTGCTAAAATGATACTCAGTTACAAGTACTGTTACATTGCTGAAATGATACTCAATTACAAGTACTGTTACATTGCTAAAATTATACTCAATTACAAGTACTGTTACATTGCTAAAATGATCCTCAGTTACAAGTACTGTTACATTGCTGAAATGATACTCAATTACAAGTACTGTTACATTGCTAAAATGATACTCAGTTACAAGTACTGTTACATTGCTGAAATGATACTCAATTACAAGTACTGTTACATTGCTAAAATGATACTCAGTTACAAGTACTGTTACATTGCTAAAATTATACTCAATTACAAGTACTGTTACATTGCTAAAATTATACTCAGTTACAAGTACTGTTACATTGCTAAAATGATACTCAGTTACAAGTACTGTTACATTGCTGAAATTATACTCAATTACAAGTACTGTTACATTGCTGAAATGATACTCAATTACAAGTACTGTTACATTGCTAAAATGATACTTAGTTACAAGTACTGTTACATTGTTAAAATGATACTCAATTACAAGTACTGTTACATTGCTAAAATGATACTCAGTTACAAGTACTGTTACATTGCTAAAATGATACTCAATTACAAGTACTGTTACATTGCTAAAAATGATACTCAATTACAAGTACTGTTACATTGCTAAAATGATACTCAGTTACAAGTACTGTTACATTGCTAAAATGATACTCAATTACAAGTACTGTTACATTGCTAAAATGATACTCAGTTACAAGTACTGTTACATTGCTAAAATGATACTCAGTTACAAGTACTGTTACATTGCTAAAATTATACTCAATTACAAGTACTGTTACATTGCTAAAATTATACTCAGTTACAAGTACTGTTACATTGCTAAAATGATACTCAGTTACAAGTACTGTTACATTGCTGAAATTATACTCAATTACAAGTACTGTTACATTGCTGAAATGATACTCAATTACAAGTACTGTTACATTGCTAAAATGATACTTAGTTACAAGTACTGTTACATTGCTAAAATGATACTCGGTTACAAGTACTGTTACATTGCTAAAATGATACTCGGTTACAAGTACTGTTACATTGCTGAAATTATACTTAATTACAAATAAAAGTACAAATTACTCTTCATAAAAGCTACTCTGAGTACAAATTACTTTTTGAGCTGGTGGTATTGGTGGAATTATGAATAATTGTTGAATCGGACAAGATTCAGGCAATAAAACACATTTTACAAAACACATTTAACAATACTATAAACACTTTTGAAACCGTGTAAACAGCTGGTTTATATATGAATCGAAACCGGAGAACCTAGAGGAACCCCACGCCAACATAGGGAGAACATGCAAACTCCACACAGAAATGCCAACTGACCCAGCAAGGGCTTGAACCAACAACCTTCTTGCTGTGAGGTGATAGCGATACCCACTGCGTCACTGTGTCGCCCACCCCTAAACATATATATATATGTATATATATATATATATATATATATATATATATATATATATATATATATATATATATAAATGTACAGTTGAAAGCAGAAGTTTACATGCAATGTATAAAAAGGCACGTAACCATTTTTTAAAAAGGTCAGATGTTAATGTGACTAAACTTTTTCTCTTTTAATTTTGTTCACATGGATAATTGAATATTAATCAGATGATGTCATTACGCTGCTGTGCCATTAGCCAATTGTTGCATTGCTGATCATGATTTCGAGGATCGATAGATCTGTCCTTTACAACACACAGCGATCTCAGATCAGTTCATTCAGACATTATAATCTGATACACGAACTTGTTTGAAGAA